ACACACACACACACACACACACACACACACACACACACACAGAGTTTTCTCCTCTACGGTTTACCTCATAATGTGAAAAGGGAACTAGCAATCTCTTCAGAGGTCTTGAATTAAGTTCCCGTAAGATTTTACGAATGTTCCTCAACGCTTCCACTTGTCTGGAAGCATGCTTGCAATGCTAGTTGTTCTTGACTCTAGGGGGCAGTGCTCATCTCCATTTCAAAGCCGAAGAAAAGCACTGTCCAAAGATGTCTCCTTGGTCATGTGGCCGGTATGACTCAACGTCGAAGGTGCACAGAATGCTGTTACCTTCCCACCATAGGTTGGTCCCTATTTTTCTACTTGCATTTTTACATGCTTTTGAACTGCTAGGTTGGCAGAAGCTGGGACAAGTAACGGGAGCTCACTCTGTTACGTGGCACTATGGATTCAAACTGCTGAACTGCCGACCTTCTGATCGACAAACTCAGCATCTTAGCCACTATGTCCTTGTAACCAATTACACAACTCTAAATCATTAAATTTAACTCTAAGTTACTAGATTCCCTCTGCATTTCTGAAATTATTAAGAAGGACTTCTCCGCATTCAAGAACTTGAATACCTAAACAGTTTCATAATCTTGCCTCTTTTTATGCACAGTAAATGTAAAATGGGAATGATGGCCACTATCTTGACTTTTTGACCTCCTGGGCAAAGACCCTGAATGTGGTAATAACCATATGCTAACAAATATGCTCTGCAGATAATTGTTGCAGATCTCAATTGTTGTAGGTGACAATGTGCGTAAACCTCCTGGCATTCGTAAGATTTCAATGGATTAAAAATAACAGAAAATTCCATCCATTAAACTTTGACCATGTGTCTGAATGGTCGTGCAATTGGCAACTCCAAATCTCGACTAATAAATGCTCTATCCTACACATTGGCAAAAAATAAATAAATCAGAACACCAAATATAAGTTGGGCAGAAATGGCCTTGTAGATGACCCTCACTCCATCAAGGACCTAGGAGTACTCATCTCAAATGATCTAAACAAGACCACTGTAACAGCATTGCCAAAAAGGCATTAAGAGTTGTTAACCTAATTTTGCAAAGCTTCTTCTCCAGTAAAATTGTATTGCTAACTAGGGCATACAAAACCTTTGCCAGACCAATTCTCAAATACAGCTTGTCTGCCTGGAATCCACACTGTATATGATTGAGCGGGTCCAGAGGTATTTCACAAGAAGAGACCTCCACTCCTCTGCTCACAATAGAATCCTTTATGCCACCAGACTTGAAATTTTGGGCTTGGACAATCTGGAATTGCGCTGCTTGAGGTCCGATCTAAGCACAGTACACAAAATTGTCTGCTACAACATCCTACCTGTCAATGACTACTTCAGCTTCAACCTCAATAATACATGGGCAAACAATTGATACAAACTCAAGGTAAACTGCTACAAACTTGACTGCAGAAAATACGACTTCAGCAACAGAGTGGTCAACGCCTGGAATGCTCTACCTGACTCCGTTGTTACATCCTCAAACCCTCACAGCTTCAACCTCAAACTGTCTACCATGAACCTCTCCCCATTCCTAAGAGGTCCGTAAAGAGGGCATCCATAAGCGCACCAGCGTACCTAATATCTCTGTCCTACTGCCCCCATCTATTTATATTCATTTCTTTTGTTTACATCCATGTTTATATTTATGCCTGCTATCTTGTACATGTTTGATAAATTAATAAATACAAATGAATACAAATACAAGATTGTGTACAGTGCAGTGGTGGGATTCAGCCAGTTCACACTTATTCGGGAGAACCGGTTGGTAACTTTCTAAGCAGTTGGGGGAACCAGTTGTTGGAAGAAATCTCCTTTTGCTTTTTCCCACTTTACNAGAACAATTAATCAGTGGAACAGCTTGCCTCCAGAAGTTGTGAATGCCCCAACATTGGAAGTCTTTAAGAAGATGTTGGATAGCCATTTGTCTGGAACAATATAGGGTTTCCTGCCTAGGCAGGGGGTTGGACTAGAAAACCTCCAAGATCCCTTTCATCTCTGCTATTGTATAAGTTTTTAATCAATCATACAAAATATATTGTGTGAAAGCATTTAACTACTGTGAAGAATATAAGATTGAATGGTTATTATTAAGAAAATAATGGATAGTTTTCTGTAGGCGTCATAAACTTTGTTGTTTTCTATAGGCAGTATAAACTTGGTTTGCCCTCCAGGCATTAGGCAAGGAAATTAAATAGCAATAGCAATACTACTTAGACTTATATACTCTTTCCCAGTGCTTTACAACCCTCTCTAAGTAGTTTACCGAGTCAGCATATTGCCCCCAACAATCTGGATCCTCATTTTACCCATCTCAGAAGAATGGAAAGCTGATTCAACCTTGAGCCAGTGAGAATCAAACTGCTGGCAGTTAGCAGTCAGCAGTATTGCCTTGCAACACTGCATTCTAATCACCATAAATGCACTGACATGAGTTGATAGCTGTGTGTTAATGTGGATGTGTGCACTGCCCTCAGAGGGATGGATTTGCAGTTTTGTTCATGTTTTAATTGTTGTTTTAATTTACTGCCCAGAGTCACATGTAGAATGGGCAGCCATATAAGGGAAAAATAAACAAACAGAAATATCTCCTGTCACCATTGGGAAATCTTTAATGAAATCTATGGCACAAACAGGCTTGGGGTTCTGTATGTAGCTTTGATTGCCAGACCACCCTCCCGCAATATATTTTAGAATTGGACAAAAGTTGAAGAAAATGTCAACCAAAATAATCAAAGAATAGAAATCATAGAAGATGCCATCACACTCCGAGATCAGGTTGAAGGGTGGAATGTCTATGAAGATTCTCAGCCACCCAGGTAGAGTAATTTGGAAATGGTTGCCATAACAATGAAGGATGAATTAAGTCAACCTACTATGTCTACCAGTAGGATGTTTGTATGCCTTATTAATGACATACATTATATAAAATTCTGAAAGTAACATAGGTCATGAAATCAACCATTCTTTTCTAGGATAAATGGAATGGTAAACCATAGTCCTAATGCCAGTACTGTGTTTCTGATGTTTACAGGTACTTGCCACTGTGGCAGATGTAAATGTGACAATTTAGAAGGAAATGGATTGATCCATGGTAAATACTGTGAGTGTGATGACAGAGAATGCATAGATGAAGAAACGGGACTGATGTGCACAGGTGAGCATATTTAAAGCTATGCTAATCACAGCAAACATTCTTCAGATAATCATGCTCTATCATTGAGGACAATTTTTTGCAGGACACAGTTCTGTTCCAACTTGTGTTGAATGCACGAATTTGGCTGGGCCTTAATCACAGCTGTCCTTAGAGATAATTTGGGGACCAAGGCAAGGAATACTGCAGTTACTAACCATCATTTTCTTTCAGAGAAAGGTAAATAGCTCCCCCACCCTACTTTTTTCTTTGAAGAATTTCTGCAACCCCGAGAAACTTGGTAACAGTTAGCTGTAGTTGTGAAAATGAGGAATAAAATTTAGAAAAGCATAGCCTTGTAATATTTACAACAAACAGATAACAAAAGGACGGCAGTGTTTCTGCAGATCTGCATGAATGTTCACTGCTGAAGTAGTTTGAAGATTACTCTTCGGCACTTTGGACTCGAAGGCAAGGAGTTTCAGAACATGAACAACACCAAATGCTATCTGCAATTTCTTAAATTAAACACACCTTTTTTCAGAATTACTACTATCTTTTGCCTTTATCTTAGGGCATTCCACCTTATATCATCAAGGAAAAGAGCAGGACAGATGGCCACCTGATCCAGCGGCAAAGAAAGCAATATTGTGTGCATATGTTTTCAGCAGTGGGTGGAGGGCATGGCCATCTCCAAGGTGGTAGCCACAGCCTTGTGATCCAAGCTGCAACTCTTTTGAATGCTTATGACGATGAGGGAGGTGATGTGTAGACAAAAGAAATGGAGCTGGATTGCAATGTTGCACCTACAACTTGCAGGGTTTGACCTCTTTTGCAGATACAGTTCAGAGATGGGTTGCTCCTGGTTTGGTCCAGATTGGGTGAATTGGTAGTAGTGGTGGTAGGAGGCTCCGCAGAAGCATTGCGTGCATGCATGCACACAAGCAAACCACTAGTAAAAAAATGGAAACTCACCACTGATACAGTTGTATACATTTACTCCAACTGGGTCTGTGCATACCATAAGTCTCCTTTTTCCACTTCACATCATAACAATGTAAACCCTTGGTCCTTTCCTTATGACCATGTTTAGCTGCCATTAAATCATCAAAAAGCTGCAGCAGAATAGACCATTCCTCTATTAGCATGACTCAATCCACCTATTACAAAATAACAGGAGGATACTTATCTCACAAACTTTAATTAGAGATACCCAAGATTCATTTGCAGGTTAGAAAATGACCTTCAGAAGATAGCGAGACAGCATTGAAGTGGCAGTTTGCGTAACCTTTTGAAAATTTATCATTATAGTTAGTGCACCCCATTATCTAACTGAAGTTTTAATTGAAAGTTTCATTTATCATCAAATCTTCTGAGGCCAGAAGTTGCCCTTTCTTTTTGAGACATAAATATTTACTTCTGAGATGAGGTCACTGATGGCCTGTAAGAAGAAAAACATCATTGTACTTCTGAGAAGACAGTTGGAACGTATGCCACCGAAGAAAATTGAGCAGCTCATGGCTAATAGGAAAGAAACTATACTTCTCCTCTTCCCAAACAATCCCATTGAAAAAAAAATGCTAATTGAAATAAACCAAATTGACATCCTTTTCATAGAATATAAGAGTGGTCATCCCATTTTCAAGTTTCTATCCAATTCAATATCTTTTTTCTACAAGAGACTTGGATAGATGATTATCACATCTTTCAATATAATGCATCTCAGAGTATAAGGGGGTAACATCTTAAAGGTGGCATAGTAATTTTGATTAGTACAGAATTGGAAGCAAAAGCATCTCTTTTCTATATATATAGATAGATATAGGATCAATGAGTAAATGAAACTTATACAAGGTGGCAACACCAACCAATCAGAATTTGGTGCTGATTTTTTAAAAAAAAGCAGGAATGAATTTGATTAGTAAAAATAGTATTAGTATTAGATTAATCTAGCAATCTAGATTGAGAAATCCCAAACAGATCCTGAAGAAGTGTGGTAAACTGTTGTGTTGTGGTAGTCCCTCAAGTTAGTAAACATTGATCTTAATTCAAAAGAGATTTTAGATACAAGTTTTAGATACAAGTCATTATTCTGGCATAGCTCTCCCTATGGTTCCATCAATATAAGAATGGTTCTACGCTCAAATAACATTCTTCTTCTTCTAGTAGAGTTTTTTCCCATATAAACCAAATATTGATCCATTGGTTGCAAATAGAGGGAGTTGATAAAAAATGGAGACATCATGTAGTAAAGAGCACAAAATTGAAGATTATGTAAGGAAAAATGAAAATGTTCCCAAACATGCAAAGTTGTGATTTGATATACAAGAACCATGATTGTTCTAAACTCAACAAAGCTTCTCCTTCTTAACGTAGAGTAAAACAAACATAAGAAAGCAGAAGACTTGAGCTATGTACCATTTATTAAACATCTGATATTAGATCTGATGCCAGCAATGGAATCTTAGTAATTGTCAAAATTATACTGTTGTAAAGGAAGAATTTTTCTCTGTGATTTAATGTCAATAAAAAAGAAAAAAAAGTTATTGATAACTTCTGTAAATATCTGTAATATGCCCATTCTGACAGTTCAACTCATATAAACCAAAAGGTTTGATTAAATACAGGCTGACACTTGACCTTTCAGAACAAAATGTGTCACATTCATAAATTCACATGAATCAAGCAGGTTCTTCCGAAGGCCAGAAAATGCCAGCTTTTGATGGGTCTTGACAGAGATTAAACACAAGACTTCACTGGCTCTCGAAACTCAAATATAAATGATGTCCATACATATTTTGTGATTATTATTTTTATGATTATGAGTTTTGAGAAAAATCCGACTCCCGTTAGACAAATCTTCATAACACCCATTGATCAAACATCTAAGGTTAAAACTTTTAAGTTTTCAAAAAGGAACTGAATATTGTATGTTTCTGGAAGGAAGCCTTCACTGTCAACATTTATGTTTTGGGATAAGGCCATGGCATGTGTTACTGTGGAGACTGTTACTGCGAGGCTGGTTGGCATGGCGATAAATGTGAACTCCAATGTGACATCGCCCCCTGGGAGATCAAGAAGAAGTGTACCTCTCCAAGTGGCAAAATCTGCAGCAACAGAGGTTTGTCGTTCACCTTGGTTATCATCTAAGTTAACTTTTTTCCCCCTACCTTTGGCACTTTTCCAAAATTACAGGGCTTAGGGAAAACTCAGTTGATTGATTATTTACAAAAAGAGAGGTAGATATTGCTAACCATAAGCCAATGCCAGTTTATTCTGATTTATTTGCCCACCCAGTGTATTAATATAGTGAAATATGGCCAAAAACAAAATCTGGGGCAGGAAGAGAGCACCATGGGGAAATGCTGGTCAACATATCTGAAAAATATCTAAAGCACCTTAGGTTCCTCATAAACTATCACCTGTAATTTATGATGAATATAGCAATAGCAATAGCAGTTAGACTTATATACCGCTTCATAGGGCTTTCAGCCCTCTCTAAGCGGTTTACAGAGTCAGCATATTGGCCCCAACAATNAATGGGCCATTTAGGCTCTTCTAATTCCTTCATGTGCCTCGATATGTCTATAAATTCTTATATGCAATTAGAGAGAAAGCTGTGATCTTTAACTTTTGGGAGGAAATGCATATCCATCTTTGGGGTGAGCAAAGTAGCCACCTAGTGGTATAGAAAAATGAGAATATGTCAATTCTGAAGGAGTTACTTCTGCAGTAGATCTCCAATTAGAACATGTGTTTATATGTTGTATAGGAATGTATGTATATGTGAATTTAATAACATAATAGCACACTTTTTGGGGAGGCAGGATGTAAAATGTGATTATTTTGAAATTCTGTAGAGAATTCTGTGGGCGTGCGCGGAAGCGTGGAAGCCTTAAAAGACAGGTAAGGAGCTCAGGCGAGCGGGTGAACTCTCTGGAGCACCGGAACGGAACGGTATCCGGTGCTTTAGGCAGGCTCCACTATGCCCGTACCAGGACATACCGCCTGCAACCCACCACTGCTTTATTGGCACCAACTCTGCTCCCAACCTCCCTTTCACTCTCCAACCTGCATAAAAGCTCTTCCACAAACCTGAAGCCAAAATGCTGTAAGCAGAATGACTGCAATCAATCACTCCAGAAGGGCAAGATAGGGAGTCCCAGGAGTGAAGGATAATTCCAGCAAGACGAGATAAACACACAGAAGGTCATAAATACTTCGAACAGTCAGGAGGAACGCCAGTAATGCAGACCACAACTCTACACTACGTGAACTCAGCTCCTCCAAACTGTCTCTCCCTTAAACTCCATCCCCAGTTGTGCCTTGTGAAGGGAATCAGGGCCCTTTACTTCCTTGTAAGCCATGAAATCCCATTGCTCTCTTCTGTATTCTTCCCTGAGTTCCCTAGGATGAGGAGGGGGTGGGCTTTGGTCTTCATCTGAAACCCCCTCCCTTGTTCTACCTCTCTCCTGCTTTGCCCAGCCTGACTTTGCCCTTCCCCAGTTTCCTCCACAGCCAACGGAGCCACTCTCCTGCTGTATGTTAACTGTTTGGCTTCCATCTCAGAGTCAGACTTCGACAGGGTCATGATAGTGTTAATATGTCACTAAGAGCAACATCAATGTATAGCAATAGCACTTAAACTTACATACCACTTCACAGTGCTTTACACTGCTCTCTAAGCAGTTTACAGAGTCATCATATTGCCCCCAACAACAATCTGGGTCCTCATTTTACAAATCTCAGAAGGATGGAAGGCTGAGCCAATGTTGAGCTGATGAGAATCGAACTGCCGAACTGCCGAACTGCCGAACTGCGGGCAGCAGGCAGTCAGCAGAAATAGCCTGCAGTACTGCATTCTAACCACTGCACTACCACAGCTCATGTCTATAGTGTAAAAGACAGATATATTTTTTCATAAGCAACTTTTATATAAACAATCTATTATTTTTAAAGCAGAAGACATTTGCAAAAGTAATTTTAAATGAAAACCAGGATTCGTATACATGATAGAAATGCTATCTATGCTGTCATAATGATTTTGTTATTTAATCCATTTTGAGCAATAAAATTGCATGATAAATTCAAAATCCTCTTCCAAGTTTTATTTAAATAGATTATAGAATGAAAATCTATTACTTGGTTCAAAGAACTCTTAAAGTAAATATGAAAATATATGTAAGATCTATTTTTTAACTACTTATCTAGGCCATGGAAAGTGTGATTGTGGAAAGTGTAAATGTGAAGAAGGTTGGTATGGTGATGCTTGTCAATACCCAACTATCTGCAATTTTACACGGAGGAAGAGTAATGAGATGTGCAAGAATTCTCAAGACATCATTTGTTCAAATGCAGGTGAGATTTTTATTTTAATGGGTTGATAAATTACTTTGGTGANAAAGTAAAAGCCTATTTAAACTGCAGTGTCTCTGTATGCTGGTTTGTGTGTTCTCCAACACAACTCTCACAACACTTCGCTGAACGTACTCACTCTCCCAATGGGGAGCTTACCTAACAGTGTCACCACAAAGAGTCAATAGAAAAAGCTTCATAACGCCTTTAGCTAAATGCAAAACCAGTTCACAATTAAAAGATTGGATGGTTCTGTATACTCCAAAATAAATTAAATTGTTATAATTGTATCTGAAAAGATAGTCCTCCACCCTATTTATACACCATGAATCTAATATGTCATATATCATAGAGTCTCTGGCAGGGGAAACTAAAAGACAAGCTTTTTCTGCAGTAGCTTCTGCTCTATGGAAGTAGCTTCTGCTCTATCCTCCATTTGGAGATTGGAGCAGACCCAACTATGTTAGCCTCCCATAGCTGAGGTACTAAATGTGTTCAGGGCCCTATTCCCTGGCTGAATTGCTAGCTGGCCAAATATCTTGCTCCTATGAATATTTAATTTGGGTGTTTTTAGTGTTTTTACCTATCAAATATTTTTTGAATTTTAAGCCACCCAGAATCATTGACAGATCAGAGTGTATAACAAGGCTGTCAAACTCCTGGCTCATGGGCCGGATGCATCAGGCGCTAGCCACGCCCACCCCATTTTAGCAAAGGGGGAAAAGTCCCAATACGTCACGTGCCGATCAGGGGTGGGTTCCTGTCAAAATTTCTACTGGTTTGGTACGCAAAAAATGCATGTGCATGCACATTTACACCTAAAAAGGTCTGCGCATGCACACAATTTTAGAAAAGGGGGAAAATTACATTTTTTTTGATGAAGATTGTTCTGCGCATGTGCAGAACAAAGAATCAAGATGGCGCTGCCAAGGATAGAACCGGTTTGGGCACGTGTCTGGCCAAGTTCCTACAGAACTGGTAGAAAGCCACCTCTGGTGCCGTGACACTGTGAGTTTGACACCCCTAGTCTACAGAAATTGAATAAATAAAATTTTAAAAAAATGTCAATATGGTGTGAAGGTGGGGTGATGGTGGTGGAAGAATGTGATTTTTCCTACACTAAATTTAAAAAAAAATACATTCACTGTCACAAGATATAGTGAAATCTTTCTTACTTTTAATTTTTAATCTTAATTTGTTTCTGTTTTTTGTAAAATATGTTTACCAAGAAAACGACATGGATAGAAAATACAAAATGATTGACAAAATCTATCTTGAGGATTGCTAGCAGTCAAAAATGATTTGGTGGCACATAATCAATCTTGTACAAGTTCAATTTAAAAGAAACATCAGATGGGAGAATCTATTTTTGCCCATTAACAGTTGGTTTCTTGATAGCAGGTTAAAGGGGCATTCAGATCTTATGGTCGCAGCCTTCCCCCTACGAGGGGTTGCATTGTATTTCTAGTAATGTTAATTATTTTGATTGATTAATCCATTTATATGCAGATGTGACTCTGAGAAACTAACATGTTAAAAGTAGTAATAATAAAGGAAAGCGATATCAACAAAAGCTTTGATAAACTAATAAACTGAGGCTCTGCTAAAATGGCCACCGATGATATAGTTAAACAAAACAATCAACAAAAGCCTCTCTAAAATCTTTAGAGGTATTAAAAGAGGAGAAGATAGTTCAAACATGGTTCCAGTATGGGCAATTACAGGCCAGGTGGANCTATCTATCTATCTATCTATCTATCTATCTATCTATCTATCTATCTATCTATCTATCTATCTATCTATCTCTATCATCTATGAAATTTATTTGCCTGAAATTTAAACTGACTCTGGACAGTTTACAGCATAAAAATTAATTAAGTCTGCTCTAGATCCACTTTTTAAAAAATTACTTTTTAAAGTTTTATTAAAGAGAACTGAAGGCCAATAGGGAATTGTAATATATTGGTTGACTCAACAGAGACATTGCATTTTATTTTTGATATTTTAACAATGGAGACGATATGGTTTCTAAATACTGTGACTGTGTAGATAAGCGTTGCTGCCATCCTGAGAAACGGTTTCCAGGATTGTTGTGATTCTATAATAGAACCAATTCAGAAGACCTTACATGCAATATTCCATTATGTGAGAGTCAGCCCTCAATCTATTTTGCTCAAAATAAAATTTGTGTCTAAATCTTTTGTATGTACATGTTAATTTCTACCACTAATTTATCATTTCATTTTCATTCAAGTAATTTTAGTTTGCTTGGATGAAAAATATTCATAAATAGATCTACTGTAAGTTTCTAAAATGAGAAAATGTTTGTTTTCACTAAGAAAATGTTTAAAATATCAACTGTTGTTTCTCTAACTACAGTCCAGATCTATTAGAAAGTGCAAAAGTGCAAATCTAAAAATTCATCGCTTTACTACCTCTTTATTGAGAAAACTCTGCCAAATGTGGAGCATCTAATTATCTTGAGAGCATTTATAAAATCCTCTCATTTTAATTATACGGCAATTTAAAAGCCCTGGCTAAAATATTGAAAACACACACATACACACAGACTGATATTTCTAGAAACTATGCACTAGATTGTAACATCAGTTTTGTAAATGAATTATTTGTCTATTTGGTGACGTGGAGCTTTATGATTGAAGGAATGTCATGACTTGGTTGAAAATAATACTTTAAAAAATACTGTATTTTTTTAAAATAGTTAACCATATAAGATCAGAAAGAGTGGCAGAAGAAAGAAGTATCATTGGAAGAAATATCCAAATAGTCAAATGTTTAAGGAATACTGTATGGACTGATTCAAGGATAATTATGGTAGTGGGCAATTCTGACATATATCCTGGGGATCCCCATGTTTATATTTTGGATGGCATTAGTGTGTATTTTGTTCACATGATGACATCCCTGCATTCTTCCCTATGGGTGATGGTGTATTTTTTGATGAGGGCAGGTTGGGTGAAGCTCAATGGGAAACTTTGAGCTATTTATTGTCTCTTATTGTCAACCTCACAACTGGCGTGGGGGAACCAAGAGGAAGAAGTACTTCCTCAAGCTTCTGAATGAAAATCATGAATACATGCATTATTAGCAACTTATATTAAACCTCCCTTGTTTTCATGCAGTCAATAATAATTACTAATATTCATACCTGGTCAAATCTAACATAAATTGATCTAAACATTCCTAGTTTGCAGGCAGTTAGTATTAATCATGCATCTCAGATCTTGGGTTTCTATATAGGGATTTTGCACTCATAGGTTAAAATAGTTGAGTGGCACAAGGTTATGTCAGCCATTTTTTTTGTTAGAAAAAGCAAATATATTCTAACTGGCATGTTTGATGACTAAAAAGTGCAGCAGTGCAGAAAATAAAATGCCTCTAAAGTCCCAACCTTTCTTGGTGACTGGGAACTCCTGTGGCTGGGAAGCATAGAATAGAGCTTCTATTTTCATGCCATGCATGCCCCAACTTTATTAATCCAAGAAGTTAAGCTCCCTGTAAATTTAGGGTATTACAGAAAACTGTAACAAAAGCTTGCAACTTAGAATAGAATTGAATAGAATATAAAAATGTGGGTTAAACAGCATTATCACCAGATGAATTCGTAACTGGCTGACCAACGGCACTCAAAGTGTATCCTAAATGGAGTTGCATCTCCATGGAGGGAACTATACAGAGGAGTACCTCAAGTCTCTGTCTTAGACCCAGTACTCATCAATGATTTAAATGAGGGATAGAAGGGGAACTGATCAAATTTGCAGATTTCACCAAGCTGGTAGTAATAGTCAAAACTCCAGAAGATAGGTTCATTCATTAACAGTAAGGTTCTACATTTAGGCAAGAAAAACCAAATGCACAAGAATAGGATAGGTGATACCTGGTTCAATATTAGTATTTGTGAGACAGATCTTGGAGTTCTAGTGGATAATCATTTAAATGTGAGCCAGGAGGGTGCTGCAGCTGCAAAAAAAAAACATAGTCCTAGGCTGCATCAATAGAGGGGTAGAATAAAGATCACATTAAGTGTTAGTACCACTTTATAATGCCTTGATAAGACTACACTTGAAATATTGCATCCAGTTTTGGTCATCACAGTATAAAAAAAATATGTTGATACTCTAGAAAGAGTGCAGAGAAGAGCTACAAAGATACTTAGGGACTTGGAGACTAAAACATATGAAGAATTGTTGCAGAAATTAGGATGCCTAGTTTAATGAAAAAAAGGACGGGGTGACATGATAACAATGTTCTAATATCTTAGGGGCTGCCACAAAGAAGATGGGGTCAGCCTATTCTTCAAAGCATTATAGAGTAGACCAAGAAGCAACGGATGGAAAATAAGGAGAGAACCAACCTAGAACTAAAGAGAATTTTTCTGACAGTGAGAACAATAAATCAGTGGAATGACTTGCCTCAAGAAGTTGTGGGTGCTGCAACATTAGAGGTTGTTAAGAAAAGGTTGGACAACTCTTTATCTTAAATGGTATAGAGTTTCCTGCCTGAGCAGGGGGTTAGACTAGAAAAGCTCCAAGTTTCCCTCCAACTCTTTATTTTGATATTCTGTTAACAACATTTTGTGTAAAAGGCTTTTCTTCGGTAATGGCAGGAATAAAAAGACCTGCTGTTTGAGGACCAGATGGGAGGCATGGCAGTGCTTCTGACTCAGTATGCACTCAGTATCCCAAACTCTCTAGGGCTGTTTGCACAACATAGCAACCCATGTGGCTTAGGTACAAGGAAATACACTTCTCCAATTGCTCCTCTCTCTGAGCTGCACAGCATTGACGCAGTAGTCTCCAGCTTGTGTAATGGCCTATCACACTGTGTGAACACAATGTTCCCAGGACTTCCAGCAGGAAGAAACTATGGAGTGTCACCATGATTTGTTTAAAGTTTGCTTATGAAGAAGATCACAGCAAAAGATCCCAGCGCAGTGCATTTGCTCAGCATGGTAAATGATAAACAAACGACCTACAGCAAATACCAAGCCACAGCACACAGAGAGGAATGACTAAGTGTGGGTGTTTAATAATAACAAACAAGCTTGGCTGTTGTGTCCATTTAATGTTGTCTGGGTGTGCAGCAGTGGTGGGTTTCAAAATTTTTTGGAACTTCTTCTGTAGGTTAGGTTAAGGTTAGGTTAAGGTTTAGTTTATTTGTATGCCGCCCTTCTCCGGGAGGGACTCAGGGCAGCAAACAACTCAGAAGGGGGAAAGGGGACATAAACACAATGCACGTAATTAAAATACACAAGAATCATACAGCCATACAAGTCGAGAGGGGAGGGGAACATTGTGTTCACACAGTGTGATAGGCCATTACACAAGCTGGAGACTACTGCGTCAATGCTGTGCAGCTCAGAGAGAGGA